AAATCTGCTGTTGTGAAGATCTGGCCCTATGTTTTCTTCTAAATTTTTATAGATTTAGGTCTTCCGTTAGGTCGTGGATCCACTTCGAGTTGATTTTCGTGAACGGTGTTAGGCGAGGTCCAGCTTCATCCTCTTGCATGTGACACCCAGTTTTCCCAGCACTGTATGTTGAGAAAATGTCTTTTCTCCCAGTAGTGGTCATGCCACCCTTGCTGAAACCCCTTCCACTACGCATGTGCGGTTACTTCTGGGCCCTCTGTTCCATTTCGTTGGTCTGTTATCTGTCTTTATGCCAGTACCACACCGTTTTGATTACTGTAGCTTCGTAGTAGGTTTTGAAATCAAGAAGTGTAAGTCCTCCAGCTGTGATCTTGTCTTTTAGGATTGTTTATGCTTTGGGGGGTCTCTTGAGATACCTTATGAATATTAGAATGGATTTTTATATTTCTATAAATATCATCATTGGGATTTTGGTAGAGATTGCATTAAATCTGTAAATCATTCTGGGCAGTATTGACATCTTAATATTAAGTCTTCTAACCCATGAACATGGAATATCTTTCCACTTTATTTCTATCTTTAAGGTCTCTCAGAAATGTTTTCTAGTTTTCAGTGAATAAGCATCAGTAAAGGTAATTTCTAAGTGTTTTACTCTTTTGATGCTAATGTAAATGGAACTTTTTCTGAATTTCCTTTTTGCATTGTTTATTGTGGGTGTACAAAGACACAATTGATTTTTGAGTGTTGATTTTGTATCCTGCTACTTTGCTGAATTTATTTATTCTAAGTTTCTTTTTGTGGGATCTTCAGGGTTTTCTACATATAGAATCCTATCATCCGTAAACAGATACTTTTATGTCTTCTCTTCAAACTTGGATGCCTTTTAATTCTTTTTCTTGCCTAAGTGCTCTGGCTAGGACTCCCAGTACTGTGTTGGAAAGAAATGACGATGTTGGGCATCTTTGCTTTGCTCCTGATCTCAAAGGAAAAGCTTTCGGTCTCTCGCCATTGACAATGATGTTTGTTACAAGATTTTCGTATATGGCTTTTATTATGTTGAGGTAGTTTCCTTCTGTTCCTAGTTTGTAGAGAGTTTGCTTTTTTTTTTTTTTATCATGAAAGGGTGTTGGATTTTATCAAAGGGTTTTTTTCTATATCAACTGAGATGATCACAAGATTTTTTCCTTCATTCTGTTAATGTGCTGTATTACACTGATTGATAGATTTTTATATGGCGAACCATCCTTGCATTCCAGGAATAAATCCCACTCAGCCATGGTGTTTAATACTTTTATTATCCTGTTGAATTCTGTTTGCTAATATTTCGTTGTGGATTTTTGTACCAATGCTCGTTAAGGATATTGGTCTGTAGCTTTCTTGTCTTGTAATGTCTTTATCGGGCTTTGGTGTCAGCGTAATGCCGGCCTCACAGAATGAGTTAGGGAGTGTTCCCTCTTCGATTGAAGTTTGGTGATTGAAACTGAAAAGTTTGAGAAGTACTGGTGCTAGTTCTTTAAATGTTTAGTAGAATTCAACAGTCAAGCCATCGAGTCCAGGGCTTTTTTTTGGTCAGATTTTCAATTACCAACTCAACCTCCTTACCAATTATAGGTCCATTCAGAATTCCTATTTCTTCATGGTTTTGTCTTTGTAGTTTTTGTGTTTCTAGGAACTTGTCCGTTTCATTGAGGTCGTTTGATTTGTTGGTGTACAGTTGTTTCTAGTGCTCGCTTATCCTTTTTATTGCTGTAGAATTGGTAGTAAAGCTCTCACTTTCATTTCTGATTTTAGTGATTTGAGTCTTCTCTCTTTTTTCTTAGTCTATATAACTAAAGGTTTTTTAATGTCGTTGATGTTTTCAAAGAACCAACTTTGGGTTTCATTGATTTTCTCGATTGCTTTGCTAGTATATATTTTATTTATCTCTGCTCTGATCGTTAATATTTCCTTCTTTTAGTTTGTTGTTCTTTTTCCAGTTCTTTGAGTTGGGTTATTAACTTGATATGTTTCTCGTTTGTTTTTTAATGAAAATGTTTATAGCTGTAAATTTCCCCCTTAGCATTGCTTTCGCTGTATTCCATAAGTTTGGGAATATTTTGTTTTCATTTTTAATAGTCTCTGAGTATGTTCTACTTTCTCCTATGGTCTCTTTTCAATCTATTGGTTGTTTAAGATCGAGTTGTTTAATTTCCACAACTTCGCGATTGTTCTCACTTTTCTTCTGCTATTGACTTCTACCAGCGTCCAGCTGTGATGTTTCTTGGTGTAGCGTTTCCTTTTTAGACCTGCGGAGGGCGCCGTGTTATCGCACCTCCCTTGTCACCGCTCTGGCTGAGCTGACTCTTTACAGGGTTGACACCTTTTTCCCCGTTTATTTTTCTTTTTCTCCTTTGTGAGCCAGACATCGAAGACCAAGTCATTCCGAAGCAACTGCATGCACATGCCCAGTGAAAGGTGCAGGCTCAGCAAAAACCTGAGACGGCCTCACCTTCGTCCCGCAAGCTGGTCCTCGCAACGGGGACAGCATACGATAATCAAAATAGCGGGGAGCGGGGGGGGGGGAGTTACCGAATTATTAGATACCGTGTCCAGTTT